CCCCAAAACCCCAAAACCCCAAAACCCCATGTAGATTTATAGTGAAATATTTGGTAGTAATTAAATTATAAAAATATACTTACTTTTAAGGTATAGATCTCAAATAAGCCCTAACTTAAATTATTAAATTTATAGGATGGATTCTTTTAAGGAAAATTCTGAAAGTGAAGTAACCTCTGCTGGTGTGTCCCATAACTTCACTTTTGATAATATTAACTGGGAATTAATGAGATAACTTCGAGTCTTTGAATCTGGTAGAATCATAGCTTAACCGATACCAAAAGACGACTATAAACCGAAAAAAAAGCCTAAGGAAATTCCAATGAAATATAGGAAAAATTTTTAAGATGTTCCGACATTAGTTCCAGTAATCGTTAAGCAATCCTACTCTTTGGAGAAAAGATATCTCTAAGGCCCTGGTGAGTATGAGGAAAATAAGTATCATGATAATCAAAATACTCCACTTGTTTAGATCGAGACAGAAGATTCTCAAATTATGACATTGGACGGCAAAGATGAGAATATTAGGATCTAAAAGAATCTTAGCAAGCTGGATCTCTAAGTGGCAGCTGATAAGCAAGAATTTTAGAAATACGTTGAAATATACCCTTATCGCTAGATAAAATATCATAAACCCTTGGCACTGATTTATAATCCTGCCTCAGGGAAGAAAAGAGATGTAAGATCGATAATTGCAAAGTGATTGGATGAAGCTAATATTCCCTATGAGTTTTTAGATACATAGAAAAAATTTGATAGCTGGTTTATTCCTTACGGATTAGACATAGATAAATATAGTGCTATTGTAGCTGTTGGAGGTGACGGAACAGCTCATGAAGTTGTTAATGGGATGATGCACAGGCTAGATAAAAAAATATTGCCAGTGGCATTTTTACCTAATGGAACTGGAAATGATACTATAAGATAATTTTCAGCACACAACTTGGAAACAGCATTGGATTTCTTAATTAAAGGATAGGCAATTAAGTATGATTTGACTATGTCGATTGCAGATAGTGAAACAGAAGAAGAGGTCCCAGCTGAGGAAAAGAGCACAAGAATCAAATATGAACTCGTTAATAATGGATTTGGATTATTTGCCAGAGCAAACCATCATGCAAATAGCAGATATAAAAGATGCTGCTGCAATCCATATATAGCTGGCGCAATTTAAGAGTTAGCGTGGACTTAAACAGATTTTTATACAATTGAAATCGATGGAGAAATAGTCTTTAAGGATTAACCAGCTGTTATAATAATGGTCAGTAATTCAAAATTTGGAGGGAAAGGATAAATTTTATCACCATTTAGTGTGGTTAATGATGGATTAGTTGAAGTATCAATATTTCCTGGAAATAGATCCATCAAAGAAGTTATTTCATTTTAATATGAATCTGCTTACTATAAAGGCTTATTTGTCTATAATCCAAAAAGATTGATTTATCGAGGAAAAACAGTTAAAATTGAACATAGAAATTTTTCAACAAAAAGGAACCCAAGATCTAAAACATAAAAAAATGGTGCAGTTTAGACTTTGAGAATGGACCCAGATAGTAATGGAGAAAAAGAAAATCTCCTCAAGTAAAAGGATGATAGAGAAAAAATACCATAAAGATATCATATAGATGGGGAGGATCTAACTTTTAAGGACTTTGTAAAGTTTGAATGCCTTTATGGGGCACTTGAAATCATAGTAGACTATGATTTTATTATGAAAGAACAGTAGATTTTTTATTAGGAATGAGAAGTTGTATCAATCACCTCACTCTCTTGATAATATAATTTAGTAGTAAAATTCTCTCATATGCTTATATTAAATCATTTGTAAAACATTTTATTAGTATTTTTAACTTAACTTACCCTACCTATCAAACACAAAATTTACTCGAAGGGGTTTT